AACATAAAACAGGTATTGAAAATGCTGAGTGGGGCATTCTCCCATTCCCTGGACTAAGAAATAAGAGGGAAAGATTTTGGCTTTCTGAAAGGTCAAGGTACTTGAGATGTCATTTTGGAAAGCCCTTACTTAATATAAGCCTAAAGGATCTCTTATTGCTTTATTGTGTCACTGGCATCAGTTTACTTTCCCTTGGGGAGTCCAAAGAACAAACAAAAGGTCCTATATTGGAGGTCGACTGTGCCCCCAGAGCTTTGTGTAAAAAGGTTCCAAGAGGAGTCTCCTGTTCCATTTCCTTCTCTCTGGCTGCGCTAGGTCTTCGCCTTCCCTAATGAGGACTTAGGAAAGCACTTCTTCAGCTGTGAAACACGTGGACCCTTTGAGGTGTCAGACTTGTTTGTGGCAACTCCTCAGAAGGGTGTGTGCATGAAGAGCAGCACGGTCTAACAGTCAGACTGGATTTCAAAGCCAGACTAAACGGATTGGAATCCTGGCTTTGCCAATTATCAATTCTGTGACCTTGGACAAGTTATTTAAATAAGTTGTGCCTTGGTTTTTCATCTGCAAAATGGGAACAAAATCATATTTGGAAGAATTATATTAGTTAATATACCCAAAGCACTTAGTTGCCCAGCATGTAGTAAATCCTGAATATCATAATTGCTATCGTGGTGGTGGTGGTGGTGGTGGTGGTAGTGGTGATAGTGGTAGTAGTTATGGTTCCAGTAGCTGTAATTTCTCTTCAAGTTGGTCAAATCGCCAGTCCGTCTGTGCTGCGTTCCTGGTACCCCCAAACACAGGCACACTGTTTAAAAAGTTAAAATCTTTAGTCTAATGTAGTGCTAGCCAAGGTGAGTGTTTGGCACAGTGGTTGGCATGCCTGTATCCCATGTTGGAGTGCCTGGGTTCAATTCCTGGCCCTAGCTTCCAATTCCAGTTTCCTGCTAGTGCAGCAGAACCTGAGAGACAGCAGATGATGCCCAAGTAATTGGGTCCTGGCCACCCATGTGGGAGACCTGAATTGAGTTCCTAGTTTCAACCCAGCCCAGCCTCAGCTGTTGTGGGCATTTTGGAACCAGCAGATAAGAACTTTCTCTGTCTCTCTGCCTCTTAAGTAAGTAAATAAAAACTGAACTAGCTTTGCTTTTCTTCAGTCACAGGAACCACTTTTTGACCTTCTAGACTTTGTTTTATGTGTCAGAACACATATAAGGGGACTTCAAAAAAGAGTTGCAAAAAATAAAATTAAAAGTTTTTTTTTCTTTTGACAGGCAGAGTTAGACAGTGAGAGAGAAAGACAGAGAGAAAGGTCTTCCTTTCCATTGGTTCACCCCCCAGATGGCCGCTACGGCTGGCGCGCTGTGCTGATCTGAAGCCAAGAGCTTCTTCTGGGTCTCCCATGGGGGTGCAGGGGCCCAAGGACTTGGGCCATCTTCTACTGCTTTCCCAGGCCATAGCAGGGAGCTGGATCGGAAGTAGAGCAGCCTGGACTTGAACTGGCACCCATATGGGATGCCAGCACTGCAGGCGGTGGCTTTACCTGCTACGCCACAGCACTGCCCCGATGCTGTTTGTTTGGTGTTTTTTTTTTTGTTTTTTTGTTTGTTTGTTTGTTTGTTTGTTTGTTTTTTTGGACAGGCAGAGTGGATAGTGAGAGAGAGAGACAGAGAGAAAGGTCTTCCTTTTGCCATTGGTTCACCCTCCTATGGCCGCCACGGCTGGCGTGCTGCGGCCAGCGCTGTGGCTCAGTAGGCTAATCCTCTGTCTGTGTCGCCGGCACACCGGGTTCTAGTCCCAGTCGGGGCGCCGGATTCTGTCCCGGTTGCCCCTCTTCCAGGCCAGCTCTCTGCTGTGGCCTGGGAGTGCAGTGGAGGATGGCCCAAGTGCTTGGGCCCTGCACCCCATGGGAGACCAGGAGAAGCACCTGGCTCCTGCCATGGGATCAGCGCGGTGCGCCGGCCGCAGTGCGCCAGCCGCGGCAGCCATTGGAGGGTGAACCAATGGCAAAGGAAGACCTTTCTCTCTGTCTCTCTCTCTCACAGTCCACTCTGCTTGTCAAAAAAAAAAAAAAAAAGTGTTTATTTTCATCTACTTAAAAAACTGGGTGACACACAGAAACAGATCTTACATCTACTGATTCATTCCCCAAATGCCCAAAACTCCATCCTTGTCTCCCACATGGGTGGCAGGGACCCAAGTCATCATCCAGTGCCTCTTAGGATGCGTTAGTAAGAAGTTGGATCAGAAATGGAGAAACTGAGATCCAAACCGGCATTCTGATACGGGGTGCAGGCGCTCCACACAGCAGCTTAACGTGCTGCACCACCACACCTGCCCACCAGTGGCGTTTTAGCCGTTAGTTCGGTCTGTAGCCGGCTTAGGCACGATTCCTGTGGGATATGAGGTAGAGGAGTAACTCAGCGTCTGCTTAGCCCATGTGTCACGTCAGTTGACACCAGTGTGTTCATGGAGAAGACTCATTGCTGTCTGGGTTTGTGTGTGTTGTATTAGGAAATTATCTGGAATAGCTGAGGCCATGTTGTTCTCAGTCATCTCTTGTGAGGACTGGTGCCTGTTTCAGTCACATTAAGTTGCCTGGTGAGAGTGTGAGGTGCATAGTCCTGTCTCCACCTGAAGCTCCGTAAGGGACGTCATGGGGGCAGTCCGAGCAGGGCTCTCTGAACAGGCTCCCGTGGCCCCTCCGGAATGGGAAGCCCATCTGTCCACCTACATGGGAACTCCTCAGTGCCGATAACAGTGTCAGACTGGTAACAGTGTTGGGGCTCCTTCTACTCAGGACTTCCTTGAGAAATGGGGCCTGCCACTTTATTAAAAATAGTGATCATAATAAAAGTGACATCTGGAGATTGAGATAAATTACTTCGGTCTTGAATAAACTAAAAATGACAGGTGGAATGAGGGGTTGGGTGACATTTTTTGTCCCTAAAGTTTTCTAGCATAAACTGAATTTCCATTTTTTCTAAATTGGCTCAGCATAGCCCAGGGGCCCGGCTCGGGAAGCCTTGGCAGCCACTGTGGTGAGGCTGACAGTCTCACTGGTGCTCCATCGCATCAGGCAAGCCTGGAAGTCTGCCCCGTTTGTGTTAGTCTGAGACTGTCTGGCTGTGTGAGTCTGCAGGCCTAGAGGTCTCTGTGTTAATGTTTACTCATAGGACAAATAAGCACTGTGTTCCTGCCTTGTTTTTTTTTTTTAACCTGTGATTGTCAGCGGCAGTTAACTCTCCGTTGCATCCAGGTGTCTAGCCTCTATGCATGCTTCTTATGGTCTTTCCTTCGTGACCTCTATTAAGCTTGGTAAAGCGGGGGCAGCCGCTGTGGCGTAGAAGCTTAAGCCTCTGTCCACAGTGCTGGTGTCCCGGATGGGCACCTTGAGTTCCGGCTGCTCTGCTTCTAATCTATCTCCCTGCTAATGTGCTTGGGGAAAAACAAAGGAAGATGGCCCAAGTACTTGGGCCCCTGTACCCACATAGGAGACCCAGAAGAAGCTCCTGGCTTCAGCCTGGCCCAGTCCTGGCCCCGGCCGTCGTGGCCATTTGGGAAGTGAACCAGTAAACCAGTGGATGGAAGATCGATCTGTGTGTGTGTGTGTGTGTGTGTGTGTGTGTCTACCTTTCAAATAAGTAAGTAAATAGACAAATAAAAAGCTTGGTAAAGGATAGGAGCTTCAGCATCTATTAGCATCCACAGTGGGCCAGGCACTGTGCTAGATGCTCTGAATGTATCGCAGATGCTCTTTAGCTCACAGTGAGGGGGTTTTCTGATGAGCATATTAGAAGTTGAAAATGCATTTGCACAACAGTTAAGTTGCCTCTTGGGCTGCCCATACCCTGTATCAGAGTGCCTGGTTCAAATCCTGGCTGCTCCACTTCTGATCCAGCTTCCTGCTGATGAGCACCCTAAGGGACAGCAAGATGATGGCTTAAGTGTTAGTGTTTCTGCCACCCACACGGGAGACTCTGATGGAGTTCTAAGTTCCTCGCTCCAGCCTGGCTCTTGATGGTATATGAGAAGTGAACCAGCAAATGAAAGATCTTTGTCTCTGCCTCTCTTTGTCTCTCTGCCTGTCACATAAAAGTTTAAAAACAATTTTAAAAATTTAAAAGAAAATGGCATTTATTGCACAGAACCGGCCAAACAGCATCACCTGGCACCGAGGACATTGTGGAGTCCTGGTTGTTGACTGTTGGGGTCTGGTGGCAGACTAGGAGCTAATGCTCATTGCAACTGCCCAGCATCTCAAGACAATACTGTACCTCACGTTGCTAGCCCAGGAAAATATCAGACATTGTAACAGTTTCTACTGTCTGCTTTGGCACCATTGTAAAGTCAAACCAGCCTGAGCCTAAGTGCCTTATACTCGTAACAGCCTTATGAAACAGGTACTGTTTTTCCTAATTTCGGGTGAGCAAATTAAACCCGAAGTACGCTGAATAACTTTCTTCTAACTCAGGTTTCTCTTTGTTAATTGTAACAGATATTTAAATCAGTGATTTTCTCTCAGATCTATAAACCCAGTTGTTTTTTTTTTTCCAAAAAAGATTTCTTGATCTATCTGAAAGAATGACAGAGAAGGAAAGAGAGAAAAATCTTATATGCTGGTTCACTCCCCAGATGTCTGCAGCAGCCAGAGCTGAGCCAGGTAGAAGCCAGAAGCCAGGAACAGCATCCAGCTCTCCCACATGGATGGCAGGAACCCAAGCACTTGGCCGTTATCCATTGCCTTCCCAGGCACGTTAGCAGGAATGCTGGATTGGAAGCAGCACTCAGATGTTGAATGTTGATGTCTCGAGCCGTGGCTTAACCCACTGTACCAGAACACCAGCCCGATGAACCCTTTTTTGAATCACCCTTTTCCCCGTGCTTTGTGTTATTGTTTCCCATCTTGTCGTTCTTCTTGAAAAAGAGGATCTGTAGATAACCTACCTTTGGGTTGTTGTGAGATCCTAAATCTTAACCATGGTGTTCTTGACTTCTTTTAGGGTCCTATCCTTCCCCAAAAGCTGGAGCGACTCTGGTCGTGTACAAGGACTTGCTAGTGCTGTTTGGTGGCTGGACACGGCCAAGCCCTTACCCACTGCACCAACCAGAGAGGTTCTTTGATGAAATACATACTTACTCTCCCTCTAAAAACTGGTAAGTGACAAAAATAAGCTCCTTTAAGCCTAGAAGAAATCTGTTGATTATCTTTTTTGATAAAGAACCCCTTTAAGAATTTGATAAAATTTTCCCAGGGAGGAAAAAAACATACTTACACCCAGATTTTGCCTGCAGTTTGAGTGCTTAGAACCTCAAGGACCAGTTCTCTTAGAACCCTAAGTTAAGAATGCCTATTCCAGGGGCTGGCACTGTGGCGTAGTGGGTAAAGCCTCCGCCTGCAGTGCTGGCATCCCATATGGGCGCCAGTTCAAATCTTGGCTGCTCTACTTCCGATCCAGCTCTCTGCTATGGCCTGGGAAAGCAGTAGAAGATGGCCCAAATCCTTGGGCCCCTGCACCCGCGTGGGAGACCTGGAAGAAGCTCCTGGCTCCTGGCTTTGGATAGGCACAGCTCCAGCCATTGTGGCCAATTGGGGAGTGAACCAGAGGTTGGAAGAACTAACTCTCTCTCTCTCTCTCCCTACTTCTCTTTCTCTCTCTCTCTCTCTCCTCTCTCTCTCTAACTCCAACTTTCAAATAAGTAAATAAATAAATCTTTAAAAAATACTTAAAAAAAAAAAAAAAAAGAAGAAGAACCTGTATTCCAGGGCAGCATTGTGATATGGTGGGTAAGCTGCCTTCTTGTGCTATACCAGCATCCCACACAGGTGCCAGTTCCTGTCCTGGCTGCTCCACTTCCAATCCAGCTCCTTGCTAATGGCCTGAGAAAAGCAACATAAGATGGCACAAATGTTTGGGTCCCTGCCACCCATGGATGAAGCTCCTAGCTCCTTGCTTCAGCCTGGCGCAGCACTGACTGTTGCGGCCATGTAGGGAGTGAACCAGCAGATGGAAGATTTCTCATTTTCTCCCTCTACTCTGGAACTCTTTCTTTCAAATAAATAAATAAATCCTTTAAAAAAACTATTGAAAAAAGTTAAAGTATAAGAGATTTATTCCTTTTCAAAATAAATAAAAGCCAGTTGAAGAACAGGGAGTTTTTCAGCTCCGGCTGCTAATTCCCTAGGACTGCTGTAGATCCAGATAATTTGTTATTCCCTGCTGTGTCCTCCAAACCAGCTCCCAGTAGCTTTTCAAACGTGTATTTTTTAAAATGACACCAATATCCTGTCCCTTGCAATGGAATGCTTAGTACATGGCTCTTGGCAGATGCTACTGATCAGAACCATAAAAATTTTTTAAAAATTAAAAAAAAACAAAAACAAAAACAAAAAAAGCCTAGTGGTGCTCTTTCAACAAACCAGGCTGACACAGACAACAAAGATCTTATCCTTTGTCATTGTCTTCTTATCTCTTTCCTCTGCCTGCAAGGACTAAGGACTTGAAAGTGCATTCATTGACTTTGAACAAGTTTGAAGGAAAGGCATGAATACCTTAGGCCATCCTGCATTTATTATCCTGTCTCTGCTTAAGGTGATGGGTTGATATTTGAAATGGATACCTATTTACTGTTTTCACTTAACATGTAAATGTTCTTTAACGCTTACACACAGATTTTGCCTGCAGTTCTAGAGTGCTTATAGGATCCTGCTAACAGATCCCTATACTTTTAGGATCAGGAGCATGCTGCTGACTTCCTGGCTTCCTCTTTTTACATTAGGTGGAATTGCATTGTGACCACCCACGGACCACCTCCCATGGCTGGCCACTCCTCCTGTGTGATTGATGATAAAATGATTGTCTTTGGTGGCTCTTTAGGGTCCCGGCAAATGTAAGTATATTTCACTTGCTGCATATTAACTTGGAGATCAGAAAGTTAACTTAGGGTCGGTATTTCTGAGCTTAGTTCTGATGAATCCAACTAGTTACCTACCCAAGCATTTGCTCTTCTAGTCACAGGCTATTCAGTTGAAAAACTTGATATAAAAAATTAAGATTGTGTGGAATCTTTTTGTTTGATGATAGTAGGACCAGATTTTGATGGAGCCTCCACCTTGTTGTGGTAGCCGGCCTCCAGAAAGCCACCTTCAAGAAGCAGAGTGGTTTTCCTTGCTCCACTTTATCACCCAGCTTGTGCCCCTTGGAGTTTTGGAGAAGGAGAGAGGCAGTTAGGACAGGTTTGGAATTGTGGAGTCGCCAAATGGGATGGCTTGGGGAGCAGGTAGAAGCGAGAAAAGTGTCAGCTGCTACGCACTTCTCTTAGGCTCTTTTCTGCACCCACTGTTTGCTCTACCTCTGGCCATAACTGGCCAGTGCAGGCCAGAGACAAGAGCCAGCGCAGTGCTGTGTGTTATCATTTATGTGACTCAGCAGTGGCAGCAGTGGGCACTTCTCCTGTGCTCTGAAATGGAACTTGTGGAGAGAGGCCGTAGGAGCTTCCATCCACGTGAGAGGGCCTCGGGTTTCAGGAATTGGCTCAATTATTCCTGGATGCTTATGTGTGATGACCTTCAAGAAGTGACTGTAAAATAGAGACTACCATCCAGGAGCCTGTCCCTGGTGAACTGGACCTTGAGGGCTGGAGACGCCAGTTTGTCCTTGATAAAACTTGGCTTTCGTTAGTCATCATGGAATCACAGAATCAATGAAGCCTTTAACTCATGGACGATGTTAGAGTGGCCTTTTGGATCACTCTTTCTCTTTCTTGTGGTTTTGCTTTTGAAAGATTTGACCAGTAGCTGTTTCCTGCTGTCACCGGTTAACTTGTACTTTGGGTAGTAGTGTGTGGCTACTGACAGAACTCAAATGAGGTCTGTCAGTGCTTGGAAAGAGCTCAGGTTTCAAGGTCTTGAAATGAGTTCAGGGAAAACAAAGGAAGAAGAATATAGCTTAAATGTGAACTCAGCATGGCGCTTTGCTGAGTGTTTTTATAAATGTCACACGTCGCTCACTTCAGCCCTTTAGAGTAGCAGTATTTCCATTCTATAGATAGGGAAGACAGAGTCAGAATTAAGTGACTTGGCTGCAACAAGGCTGCCTGGTTCTGCAGCCCCTGTTCTCCCAGGCCAACCCTGAAACCTCTGCCCGGGGCTGTGAAGGTGCAGGTGAAACTCTTCCACCCCTAGCCGGTTCCTGGGAGCTCCCAACTTCCTGTCCTTCTGTCCTTATCTCACAGGAGCAGCGATGTCTGGGTCCTTGACCTCGAACAGTGGGCGTGGTCCAAGCCGAACATCTCGGGCCCCAGTCCTCATCCTCGAGGTGGCCAATCTCAGGTGCTCAGGAATTAAATAACTATTCCACAGACACTGTAGCATCTTTCAGTTAGAGCGGGAGAGGGAGGAGGGAGTCAGGTAAGATGCCAGTGTGCGCCAAGCCAACAAGAACTTATTCTTTTCTGCTATTATTTATTTTTCACCTTCTGACGGGTCATTATTTACAGTGGCTTTACATTATGCCTCTCCCCAAAGCATTTACTTTGCTGTTTCATTTTTCAAGAGAACTCTGCATTTTCTGTGGGTGACACTCTCACGTTAATATATGATCAGCAAAGCACATATGCATTCAGGTGAATGACTGTCATTTGTTCAGTCAGAACTGACATTTGGGGAAAATGGAGAGCCTGTGTTCCCAGGACACTCTAGGTTGGGAGCTGGGGGTGGCTGTTTGCACCTAACACCGAGGCATGTGAAGTCAGAAACCTGACTTTGTGTGTCCTTGTAGGTTTATTTTACATTTCTTCCCTCCCCAGATTGTCATAGATGATGCGACTATCTTAATCCTTGGAGGGTGTGGTGGTCCCAATGCTGTGAGTATCGCACATGTGACATTCCAAGCAGGTGCTAAGTGTTCACAACTTGCTTCCCTTGGGGCACCCACCTGGGAGACCTGGAAGAAGCTCCTGGCTCCCAGCTCTGGATCGGCGCAGCTCCGGCCTATGTGGCCATCTGGGGAGTGAACTGGCAGAATAAATACCTTTCTCTCTGTCTCTCCCTAACTATCTCTCAAATAAATAATTAAAAAAAAAAAAAAAAACTTAAAAGCAATCCTTGCTTCCCTATCTAATTCTGTAAAAGTATAGACTATTTGCATGACATTTTTTCTTTCTTTTATTTATTTATTTAAAGATTTATTTATTTATTTATTTGAAAGGCAGAGTTGCAGAGGCAGAGAGGTCTTCCATTTGCTGTTTCACTCCCCAAATGGCCACAACAGCTAGAACTGGGCTGATCTGAAGCCAGGAGCTTCTTCTGGGTCTCCCATGTGGGTGCAGGGGCCCAAGCACTTGGACCATCCTCTACTGCTTTCCCAGACCATAGCAGAGAGCTGGATCTGAAGTGGAGCAGCTGGGACTTGAACTGCCACCCATATGGGAAGATGGCGCTGCAGGCAGAGGCTTTACCCACTACACCACAGCGCTGGCCCCATATATATTACTTTAAAGATTTAGAGGAGAGAGACAGAGATCTTCCATCTGCTGGTTCACTTCCCAAGTGGCCAAAGGGCTGAGTCAGGCTGAAGCCAGGAGACAGAAATTCCATTCATGTCTCCCATGTGGGTGACAGAACTCAAGTACTTGAAACATTATCTGCTGCTTCCCAAGCCCATTCATAAGGAGCTGGATCAGAAGCAAAGTAGCTGGAACTCAGTTCAGCACTCCAACATGGGCTGCTTGTGTACTAAGAAGTGGCTCAACCCACTGCTCCATAGTGCCGCCCCCCCCACCTTTTTTTTTTTTTTTTCGTCTTTAAGCTTTATTATGAAGAACAAAGAGTGTTCCATCTACTGGCCCACTCCTCAAAAGCCCATAACAGCCAGGGCTGGGGCCAGTGGAGCTGGGAATGCAATCCAGGTCTCCTGTGTGGGTTGCAGAAACCCCATCACCACTGCCTCCCAGGGTCTGCGTGCTCAGGAAGCTGCTGTCAGGAGCCAGATCTGGGTTTCAAGTCCAGGTACTGTAGTGTGGGATGCAGGTGCCCCAACTGTGCCTTAACTGCTAGGCTAAACACCCGCCCGCCGTGACCTTTCCATTAGAGACATTTGTCTCTTGAATATTTATATTCTTCCCATTCCTACTTCTTAAGGCTACAAGACTTCTGCTATCATGTTTTCAAAGGAGAGGTGGCAGTGGGACAGAAAAACAAGTTGATAATTGCCACATCTAATGTATTTGAGAATGGGGCTTGCACTGTAGCATAGTAAGCTAAACCTCTGCCTGCAGTGCTAGTCACACACGGCTGCCAGTTCATATTCCAGCTGCTCCTCTTCCGATCCAGCTCTCTGCTATGGCCTGGGAAAGCAGTAGATGACCCAAGTCCTTGGGCCCCTCCACCTATGTGGGAGACCCGGAAGAAGCTTCTGGCTTTAGATTGGCCCAGCTCCAGCCATTGTGGCCATTTGGGGAGTGAACCAGCCAATGGAAGACCTTTCTCTCTGTCTCTCCCTATCTCTGTAACTCTACCTCTCAAATAAATAAATAAAATCTTAAAAGGAATAATTGACCAAAGAACAGAATGCAGGTCCATCGGTGGGTGTTTGGTTCAGCTTCCCACATCCCTCATCAGAGAGCCTGGGCTCAATTCCTGGTTCTGGTTCTTGATTCCTGACTCCAAACTTCAGTTTCCCCCTAGTATGGACCCAGCGATGATAAGCTCAAGTTGTCACATTCCTGTCACCCATGTGGAAGACCTGGATTTTGTTCCCAGCTCCTAGCTTTGGCCTCCGCCATTGCAGCATTTGGGGAATGAACCAGTGGATGGGGTGTCTCTCCCTCCTTCCCTCTCCCTCCCTCTCTCTCTCCTTCTTTCTCCCTCTTTCCTCACTCTCTCTCTCCCTCCTTATCTCTCTTTGTCTCTCAGCTTCTCAAATAAATAAGAAAGCAGATTCACAAGGTTGTGGATATGTCTTATCTGTCCTCTCCTCTTCCCCCCAGTGTGGACACTCAGACACAAAACCATGGACAAGATTCTTGGGTTACAAGCACAACTCCATGAGGCAGGCCAGTGGTAATACATGAGTGACCAAGGGCGTGAGTGAGTGCACGCACACCTGCATAGCTGAGTGAACAGCTGATAGATCGTGGAGTTTTATTTCTGAAACGCCCACACACTGTCCAACCCGCGAGGCACAACTCGAGCTTGCAACTCTGTGTTCTGTAACGTGTCCCACACAAGTCCCGCTGTCGGTCCTTCTCTTACAGCTGTTCAAGGATGCTTGGTTGCTGCACATGCACTCGGGTCCCTGGGCCTGGCAGCCACTCAAGGTGGAAAATGAAGACCACGGGGCTCCGGAACTGTGGTGCCACCCAGCTTGCCGGGTAAGCAGGGGCCGACAGGCCAGCAGCAGGCGTCCTCGGCTGGAAAGCCAAATTAATGTGCCAGATTCCAAAGGAAATTTGTGCAGAAGTAGGAAACACCTTGGTGTTTCAGAAGAGGTAGATGTGAACCATAGTTCCTCTGACATTTCTCACATATGTGAGCCACTAGTTGGAAAACCACTAGATGTGGACTCTCCTCTCATCCTTTAAGAACCTGCTTGAAACGCCTTTTTGTCTTGAAACTGCCCAAAGTCTCTCAAACAAAAACTGGTCCCTTCCTCCTCCTCCCCTGTTCCACAGACGTAACTGTGATAACGGTACGTGTCACACGAAAGCAGCAGTTGTTCCCGCGTTGTCTCCCCTCCTACCCTAGAGAGTAGACTGCTGCTTTCACCTTTGTAGCCCAGCCACCTAAAAATGCCTGGCACACACGCCAGGCTCGTGCTGAAGTGTTTGATCGTCGGATGAGTAGTCAGAACGGTAGCTGCATCTGAGCACAGGTCCTTTGTTTTCCAGGTGGGACAGTGTGTGGTGGTCTTCAGCCAGGCTCCTAGTGGGAGAGCCCCACTTAGCCCCAGTTTGAATTCTCGCCCCTCACCTATCAGTGCCACTCCTCCGGCCCTGGTCCCAGAGACTCGCGAGTACCGCTCCCAGTCTCCAGTAAGGAGTATGGACGAAGCACCTTGTGTTAATGGCCGCTGGGGAACCCTGAGGCCCAGGGCTCAACGGCAGACTCCCTCAGGTTCCCGTGAAGGGAGCCTTTCCCCCGCCCGAGGAGACGGCTCTCCCGTGCTCAACGGTGGGAGTCTGTCTCCAGGAACAGCTGCTGTCGGTGGCTCTTCCCTGGACAGCCCTACTCAGGCCGTGTCTCCAAGCACTCCATCTGCTGCTGAAGGCTATGACCTAAAGATGGGACTCTCTGTGGCCCCCCGACGAGGGTCGCTACCAGATCAGAAAGATCTGAGATTAGGATCAGTCGATCTGAATTGGGACCTGAAACCTGCCTCTGGTGGCAATCACATGGATGGTGTGGACAACAGGACAGCTGGGGGAGGTCTGAGACACCCTCCGGAACAGACCAATGGTGTGCACACCCCGCCACACGTGGCTAGCGCCCTCGCAGGGGCCGTCTCTCCAGGTACCCTGCGTCGGAGCCTGGAAGCCATCAAAGCAATGTCACCCAAAGGCTCCTCGGCCTCCGCGGCACCAAGCCCTCCTCTGGGGTCTTCTCCAGGCTCCCCTGGGAGCCAGAGCCTGAGCAGTGGCGAAGTGGTGCCCATTGCCCGCCCAGGGCCTGCGCAAGGAGACGGACATTCCCTACCTCCCATTGCCCGCCGTCTGGGCCACCACCCTCCCCAGTCCCTGAATGTCGGCAAACCGCTGTACCAGAGTATGAACTGCAAGCCCATGCAGATGTACGTGCTGGACATCAAAGACACCAAGGAGAAGGGCCGGGTGAAGTGGAAAGTGTTCCACAGCACCTCCGTGGTCGGGCCTCCGGAAACCAGCCTGCACACGGTGGTCCAGGGCAGGGGGGAGCTCATCATCTTTGGAGGACTCATGGACAAGAAGCAGAATGTGAAGTACTACCCAAAAACAAACGCCTTGTACTTCGTGCGAGCAAAGAGATAATGCGCTCTCACCCCCCCCCCCCCCCGCCCTGGCTTTCAGCGTGGAGTTTTCCAGCGTGCAAGCATTGGACTGAGAATTGGGAAAACGATGAAATTACTCCCATAAGCCAAACTCCAGTTCCCAACCCAGCCCACTCTGGGCTGGGAGCAAATCTCCATTAAGAAAAAATTATATATAAATATATACATATATATATATTATATAACCAACTCTGTTTACAAAAAGGGAGAGCTCTCCATCCTGATTCAGATAAAATTATTGCTGTGTTTTAGCAGAGGCTCTGCTGCCTTTTTCTACTTTGCTGGTAACCAGACCAAGAAGTTCGGGAACAGACTAACTCACTACTAGCAGTAACTTCCCAAAAGAACCTGAAGAGCCCCTTGTAGACTTCCGTGGCCTTCTCAGAAGACGACTGGGCAGGCGTGAGATGCGAAGGTGAGGCTTTCAGACGCCAGCCTCGGGTGCTGGCAGGGGAAGAGGGACTCAGAGAAAACTGTTCTTCGCTCTGGGCTCCAGCCCGAGCCTGTGACGGCTCTGCGGAATGCCCTGCGCAGGCCCCTTCTGCTCTTGTGACTGGGGACAGCCGCCCGACAAGAGGCTTTGTTCCGTGTGTGTGTGCCAGGATCATTGTGAACGAATAATGTCCGTGCAGCCAGCATCGATCCGCTGCTGCCCACTGGTCTTTTGAGTGCTTCCTACATGGCTCAGAAAACATTTCCGTGTCTGATTGTGGGATTTTTCTGACCTTTTTTTTTTGGTTGCAAATTGCCAAAAACTAGACTTGTTTTCGTTTTCCTTCCTTTAGAATTTGGTCTTCCGAAGCTGCCTGTTCTGTTTATAAGCTGATTTTTCCCTTGCATATGTAGATTTTGTAAAGCTCTAAAACTTTTCTCACTTTCTGTTTCTTTTACAAACTCAGGTGCCTAGAGAACTCAGATGTTTCTTAGAAATCTTCTTGGAACCTTTCCCGTGTGCCTGGGGGGCCGGTAGGGAATTCCCAGGTTGCCCTGTCCGAGCAGTCCTTGCAGCATGGAAAGACAGCGCTTTGCCTTCTGGGCTGCTTGTGACAGTGCAGAGCCCTGGGCACACCCACCCATGCCTGCTGGGTGTGGAGATCGGTCCTGGGGGGATTCCTGACACTTCCTTCCAGAAATGCTTTTCCCCTATGTCAGGGGGTGGGTTGCGGATCACGTGCTGCACGGGGCTGACCGCGGCGGCAGCTCCGCCTTTCCTGCTTGTCTCGTTCACGTGGCGCCCAAACAGAGCTTGGGTTCTTACTTTATTTGTTTTCTGAGTCGAGGTGCAACCAAGGGCTCCCCCCACCCCGCCCCATGTCTTTGGTCAATACAGAAGGTTATAAGTTCTTAAGACTCAAAACTGTGGCCTAGACATATGAGATATCCAACTAAGTTTATATCCAGTGGCACTGTTTAAACATGGATTACTGGTGATTTCTTACCAGTGGAGAGAGGATTTTCTGTTTTGCCTTTAGGATTTAAATTTCCAAACATCACATTTCCCACCCCCACTTTCCCCTTTGTCTTTCTAACGTTTCCCAGGCTTGCCTGCTTGCAGCTGGCCCAGGCTCCTGGCTTGGAGCCCACGCTTAGCAGCCTGTCTGGTCCCCAATCCGTGTGTTTCCGCCTGTTACATCATGCTGGATCCTTCCCCTCACCACTGGCTTTCACACATGGTCTGGTGGGAAAGCCCAGGAAAGGGCAGCTCACGAGGGTTCTGTGCTCCAGAAGCGGCTCCCCACGCCCTGGTGCGTGAAGTGTAGGTGCCTGCCTCCTCTGGCATCCCCTGCTTGCGGCTGTGCGCTTGGTTTTCCAGACTCCCTGCTCTGGGGCTGCTGCTAGTCTGTTTTTGGCCAAAAAAACTGTTCAATCATGTGGGTCCTGATCTACAAGGAAAAGCCCGGAAGATTAGCAATTTAGGCATTGTTGCTATTGCTGAACCTTGTGTTTGACCTGGCGGATGTGCATGGACGGTGCCTCCAAGCTGGTTTCCTACAGAAACAAAGTATCAGAATGTCAACCTTGTAACCTTTCCCTTGGTCCCCTGGCCTTCCGAGCCAGCTGTTAACCTGTTGATCCCTTCTCCGTCCCCTGCGTGGGCAGGCAGTGGAGGTGCTCCTTATAGAAAGTACGGCGGTTCTTCTGAGCTCTGGCGTCCCAGTGTTACCCATACCGCCCGGAACCAAACCGTCCGAGAAAGCCTGCCTTGTCTGCACCCGGTGGTGTTGGTCCTGGTGGCCCCAGGCACTGTGGCTGTGCCCCCCTTTGGCAAAGCAACCAGACTTGGTCCTGGTGATGGTCACCCCAGGCCTTCGCAAAGCTGCAGGTGCAGTGGACTCCAGTTCCACGAGGTGCTCCCTCGTGTCCGAGCCAGCCGCAACTCTGTTTCTGACATACCAGTTTTGTCTTAAAATTCGCTGAGAAGAATGAGACAAAATGTTGTTTTTAAACCCTCAGGAGCACCTACAGCAAATGTTTATCAGTATTTAAGTATTTAAGATACCTTTTGTTTCTACTTGAAGCTTTAACCCCTTCCATTCCTGCAAGTGTGCCTTGAGAGCCCCTGTGTCCTACCGATGTCCCCGGCCACCTCCTCGTTGGCCCCGTGTGAGGATTCGCATCCCTTCCTGCCCTCCCCTCCTGGACAGAGCTTCCTGCTCCCCCGTCCCACGGTCACGCTGCAGAGGCTTCCCTGTTCTTGTTCACACTTCCGCCTGTCTTCCACGGCCCCACCCGGCCCACGTGTAGGTGTCAGAACGAGCTTCAATGTCTTCAGAATTGCCTGGCGCACTCTCCCGGCGCCTCCGTCTGTGTTCCATGAACTGTCCTAAGAGCTGTGCTGCGCTCTCTACCCTCCAAGAAAGAACAGAAGACGAGGAGGAAGAAGCAAAACCGGCTTCAGAAGTCTCGGCTTTGGAGAGCAGAAAGCCCCAGCCAGCAGGGTCAAGGACGCTTCCTCTCCTTTCACCTGGCCTGCTCCGCTCTGTTCCTCCCCTGAAAGTAACTCTCTCGGTCGGTCTGTCTGTCCTTGTCCTTGTGATCCTGGCATGGTGGCGTGTTCTGCTTTGCATTATCTGTGGTCTCTTCCAGTGCCCAGGTCAGTGGGGAGGGGCTGGACACACCCAGGGCCGAGGAGGAGGAGACCTGTGCGGCCTGTGGACTGGGGACCGCGGAAAGCGCGTCCTGCAGGTGGCGGTTAGCGGCCCCTCCCACCACGGTCCTTGTCGTCAGCGGGAGCAGACTTCGACTCTTGGCTCTGCTGCCCTCCCACCAACCAGGGTTCATGCCGGTGCACAGCCATCGTGCCCTGGCCACGCCGGTGCTGCGAGTGAGGTTTCCCATCCAACTCAGGGCCGCCAGGCGGCTTACCCTGAGCTAGTCATTTTAGGCACATAACAGTGTAGGAATGAAAATGGATTTCATTGATATTTAAATCTCTGTCAATTTCATTTTTTGTTAATGTTTTCCCCAATGACTTTTTAGCAGTTTAACAAATAAAATGGACAGAATTGTCTTAGCCCTTTTGTTAGTAACAACAAAAAGAAAAATGGCTGTGCTAGAAACTGAGCTTGGAAATTGAAGTTAGAAGTGTGGGAAGGGAGGAGTTGCCCGGCCAGGGGACAGTGCGGTTTCAGGAGCAGCTGCTTCCGTCCTGCTGGGAAGACTGGCGGCGTGTCGTTGTCTCGGGGCCCCTGCAGCGGAGACATCCCGGAGCAGAGGCCAAGGCCTCCTAAGCCCGAGTGAGGACGCAGGGCCCAGGGGCTTTCTGCTCAACCTTGCGGGCAGGTTTCCTCGCCTACAGATGTCATTGCTCTGCCTGCCGGAATCGTGAGGATGGAGGTGGTGTGTGATAAGCACCAGCAGTGCCTGGCTCCCAGGCGCCAGGCAGGCCTTCCCAGGCAGGCCGAACACAGCGTTCCCTGCCAGAGGTCCTGCTTGTCTGGTGCAGAAGGCCAGGGGCCTCCTGAAGGGGGCCGGTGCAGGAGGCACCGATGCTGCCTTGAGCCTGAGCCTGCTCCCCAGCCCAGGGCTTCGCCTGACACCACACCTGGAGAGCTGAGGAAGTTCCTGGGAAGAGGTGGGCTTTGAGCACCCTTGGGCCCAGGCTGGATGGGAGGCTGACCTGCTGCCTGTGGCTGGGGCCTTGCTTCTCTGTGCCCTTTCTCCTCCCTTAGCCAAGGTCTGCCTTCTGTTCCCAAAGGCCATTACTGTCCCCTTGTCCTACAGCACTGCCAGCGACAGGCTGCGTGAGGTGGGGACTTCGCCACTGCTGGAGTGGTCAGGCAGAGGCTGATCGCTGATGTGGGAGGGAGATGACCGCTGGTCTGCACATGAGACGCAGTTCTGCGCATTCAGCCAGGGTCTGGAAGAGAGGTAACAGGTCAGCGAAATGGGCACAAGCTTTGGCCCAGAGCAGACCCACGAGGCACAGTGGATAAGCAGGTGCTTGTGAGACTGAATGTCCCATAGCACAGTGCCTGTTTTGAGTCCTGGCTACTCTGCCTTGGATCCAGCTTCCTGCTTATGTGCCTGGGAAGGCAGCAGGTGATTGAAGTATTTGGGCCCCTGCAACCCACATGGGAGACCTGGATGGAGCTGCTGGTTCCTGACTTGCCTGGCCCAGCCTTCATCGTCATGGCCATTTGGGGTGTGAACCAGCGGATGGAAGATCTCTGTCACTCTTAATTAAATAAGTAAATATTTCAAAACTAACAAAACCTGGTTCAGTCATCCCACTTCAATTTTATAAGTGAAACGGCAGTGTTGGAACCAGCCTCAAAGATGGGCGGTTCAGCAGGAGCAGCCAAGAATTGTCCACCGGTTGAATGGGTGTGATTCCCCCACAGGCCACATGGGGGCACCCTGTGGAAGGCTTTGAGTCCGCAGCGTTTCAGATCTTGAGAAGGCAATGGAAGGACTGAAGAGTGTGTGCCCGTTTCTTCTGCCCTCTGCAACCTGGGTGGTGCCCCCTCCCTGGCCTCTGACTCCCAAGCACGGTCCCCCCAGGCTGGCTCTCCTGCCTTCTCTGCCCCAGCCCCCAGCTGTGGGAAAGTCAATGCGTTCCCCACAAGCTGGGCTCTGGGCCCAGACCCTGTCAGCGTGCACAAAGCAAAGCTGATGTCTTAAGTAGATGCCTAAAAGTCCTAGCAAAGTGCTCCTCCCCCCGGGCAGCCCTGGAAGGAAGGGGGCGGGCAGTCACAGCAGCGCATGGGCAGTGGGGTCTGCAAAGCCAGGGCAGTGGGGACTGGCCTGGGGATCGCTTCCAGTGCATCTGCTGAGCCCCGAGGCACTGGGACACAGGGAGGGCATTCCTGGAGGAGCCCACCACCTCATCCCAAAGCAGAGACGTGCCACGTTGGCCGAACAAGAATGGCAGATCCTGGGGCCTGCCTTGTGACACAGCAGGTCAAGCCGGCATCCCAGAGGAGCCGGTTCAAGTCCTGGCCACTCCAGTTCCTATCCAGCTCCCTGCCAGTGCTCCTGGGAAGCACTGAAGGTGGCCCAAGAGTTTGGACCTCTCCCACCCGTGTGTGAAACCCAAATGGAGTTACAGGATCTGGCTTCTGCCTGGCCCGGCCCCTGCTGTTGTGGCCATTTGGGGAATGAACCAGCAACTGGAAGATATTTAAGATTTCTCTCTGTCTTTCCGTAACTATTTAAAATAAATATTTAAAAAAATTTCCTGAGCTGCTCAGGAAAGATGGAGTTGCCCCCGTGTACAGCCGGCACAGCCAGCCAGGGGCAGGAGGGTTGTTGCGGAAGCCGGAGAGCTAAGTCCGCCCCTTGCGTGGGCGTCTCAGTCCAGCACCACAGACAGGGTAATTCACGAGCGGCAGATGCATTTCTTACCGTTCGAGAGGGCAGGGGCTCCAGGATCAAGGCGCCAGCAGCTCTGAAGTCCACTGAGGGCCCTGTCTGTTTCCAAGGTGGCACCTTGGTGCTGCTGCGTCAGGGGCCCTGTGTGTGTGTGTGTGTGTGTGTGTGTGGAGGGGACAGAAGAGGCAAACCTGTCCCCGCCAGCCTTTTTATAAGGTCACTAATCCCAATCGCCTCGAAGACCCTACCTCTTAAAACTGTCACACTGGAGATTCAGTTTCTTTTTTTTTCTTTTTTTTTTTTTTTTAAGATTTATTTATTTGAAAGAGTTACAGAGAGAGAGGAGAGGCAGAGAGAGAGAGAGCTTCCATCTGCTGGTTCACTCCCCAAATGGCTGCAACGGCCAGAGCTGCGCCCATCCGAAGCCAGGAGCTTCTTCCAGATCTCTCACATGGGTGCAGGGGCCCAAGCACTTGGGCCATCTTCTACTGCTTTCCCAGGCCACAGCAGAGAGCTGGATTGGAAGTGGAGCAGCCGGGACTCAAACCAGCACCCACATGGGATGCCAGCACTGCAGGCAGTGGCTTTATCCACTACGCCACAGTGCCAGCCCTGATTCAGTTTCAACCGACGGATTTATAGTTTTATTAAGACAAAAACTGACAGTGTGATATGAAGTTTACATTTAAGCAGACTTTTCACAGAAACCTAACACATGCCTACAGAGATTTACAGTGTCGCTCCCAATAGGTCTAGACCATGTCCTCACAGATTTGTGAGGACATCAGATCATAGCCACACCTTGCTAAACTGGTAGGGGCAGATGAGGGCGGCTTTTCTTGGGGGTCCCTGGTGGGCACCACCCAGGCCTCGCCTTCCAGTCAGCGATGCAGGATGTTGATGGCTTCGTGGCATCAGGAAAGACAGACTTCCCATGTTCCAGGCAGAGGGTTGTGGGAGGCGCAGCACACCCAAGGCAGCCTGTGGCCGGGGTCGATGGCACTGTCGAGTGACCTGTGCCGGTGTGATGGCCAGAGGTCATCTGCTCAGATGTAGCCAGGGGAAGAAGCCCATCAGAACCTGCGGTGGGGGGAGAGACCAGCGCAGCCAGGGCCATGGCAGAAGGGAGAGTTCTCTGTGGAGCCAAGGCACTGAGAGGCGGCATCCAAGGAGGGCTGACCTCCGCACCTGTGCGTCCCGGGCAGGGGTGCGTCTCCCCGAGGGGGAGAGGAAAGGAAACAACCCTGAGGACACTGTTGGAATTGTGGAGCAGCAGTTGTGGCACAGCGGGCCACACTGCTGGGGATGCCCCTGTCCCACGCTGAAATTCCTGGCTTGAGTCCAGGTTTTTCTGCTTCAGGTCGAGCTTCCTGCGAATGCGCACCCTGGGAGGCGGCAGGTGATGGCTCAAGTGCTTGGGTCCCTGCCGCCCACGTCGGGGACCAGGATGGAGGTCCTGGCTCCTGACTTTGTCCTGACCCAGCCCTGGCTGTTGAGGCCATTTGGGGAGTGACCCAGTGGGTGGAAGGTCTGTGAATAACCCTGCCTCTGAGTGAATGGGCTATAAGAGCCGTGCAGGTGAGCCGGGCGTCTGGGCGAGGAATGGCTCCTTGCGCCTCTGCCTCGCTGTGGGGCAAGCAGGATGGGGGACAGCACCCTGTCTTCGCATCCTTGTCCCCTCCCACCCCCCCGGTGGGCCTCCATGATTTGTGGGTTGCTGGCCCCCTGGCTGATTCCAGCCTCACTGGGAACAGCCCTTCTGGTGGCTGGGGCAAAGTTTTTGGTTTTCTTTTTAAAAAAGATCTATTTTAGTTATTTGGAAGGCAGAGTTACTGAGAGGGAGAGACACAGATCTGCTGGTTCACTCCCCAGATGGCCACAATGGCTGCGGCTGGGCCTGAGCCAGGCAGAAGCCAGGAGCTTCTTCTGGGTCTCCCACATGGGTGCAGGGGCCCAAGCACCTGGGCCATCCTCCACTGCTTTCCCAGGCATATTAGCAGGGAGCTGAATTGGAAGTGGAGCAGCCAGGACTTGAACCAGCACCCTTATTGATACTGGCATCGCAGGCAGTGGCTTCACCTACTATGCCACAGCACTCGCCCTGGGGCAAAGTTTTTTGTTTTTTTTTTTTTTAATTATTTATTTGAAAGGCAGAGTTGTAGAGAGGCAGAGGCAGAGAGAGAGAGGTCTTCCCTCTGCTGGTTCACTCCCCAAATGGCTGCAACGGCCGGAGCTGCGCCGATCTGAAGCCAGGAGCCAGGAGCTTCCGCCGGGTCTCCCACGCAGGTGCAGGGACCCAAGCATTTGATCCATCTTCCACTGCTTTCCCAGGCCACAGAAGAGAGCTGGATCAGAAGTGGAGCAGCCGGGACCCGAACCGGCGCCATATGGGATGCCGACACTCAGGCGGCGGCTTTCCCCACTGCGCCACAGCGCCGGTCCCGGCAAAGTTTTTAAAAACCTGAAACCCAGTATGGGGGAACAGACATGGACTGCTACGTGACTGAGGGAGAATGCCATTGCTCCAGGCTGCTTTATAAATGAGGCGACCTCTACAGCCCTCGCTGCTGGCACAGCCCTTCAGTGAACGGGAACTCCTAGGTCAGGCTTAGCAAGGCAGGCACACGCGCGACTCGAAGGCACTGCAGGAAATCGACGACAAACTGATGGACAGCGTTCGCCGAGCGGCCCCTCCGCAGCCGGTGCACCCAGCGGGCGTTGGCGCCGCCGGCCCACTGCCCGGAGTCCAGCAGTGGCGCGGGGCCGCAGGCTGGGAGCTGGGAGGTCCGCCGCAGGCGGGCAGGCGCTGGTCCGCGCTCGCGTTCCCAGCTTCGGAGCGGCACGGAAGGCCCCTGGGAGGAGGCCCCGACCTGACGTCACCGCCCGCGGGCTCGGGCGCCCAACCGCCGCGCAGCGGCCGGCGTTAGCGGGCCCCGCCCCGGCGTCCCCATGGCAACGGCCTCTGCACATGCGTCCTGAGCCCCGGCGCCTGGCCGGGCGGCGCGCGCGCCGAAGCCGGACGCAGGCCTGGCGGAAGCGGACCCGGCGGGCCGGGCAGCGGGAGCTCAGCGCAAGGCTTTTAAAGAGACCGTCGCCACCGAGGCGTTCTCGCCAGCGCGTGTGGCTGACGGTGAGAGCTGGGGGGTGGCTCCCGGAGTCGGAACCCAGGAGGGAGAGGAGCAGGGCTGTGTGACCCCCGAAAACGGCTCCCGCTCCCCCTGCCCAGGGAAATAAAGGGATGACTCCCCGGGGCGGGGTGCGGGGTGACACGGAGGAGGGGGCGCTCGGAACTGCGCCCTCTGCGCTGGGAGAGGCGGAGGGGACTAAGAGGGGTCCCGGGTCCCCTCTCCCCCCCTGCCCGCTCTCAGCACCCTGCCGCCCCCTCCCACCCACCCCCGCCAGGGTGCCCAGCATGGCTCGCCCGCCCGCGCCCGGCTCGGCCATTGTCCCAGACTGGCACGAGAGCCCCGAGGGCAAGGAGTTCCTGGCCTGCGTCCTGCGCAGGAGCCGCCGGCGGCTGTTCGGTGAGTGCCCGCGGCCGCGCGTCCCTCCGTGGGGAGCCTGCGCCCTCGCGTGCTCAGCCGTGGGCCCCCGGGACCCTGATCCCTCAGCGGATTCCACCGTCGGGGCCAGGAGCACGGGAACAGCCCAAATCCCGCCCAGCGCGGCGGCCGCGGCGGACACGCTGACCGCGGGGGCACCTCGCGCTCCCCGCGCGGATCGCGCCCCGACCCCTGGTCTGTGTCTGTGGGAGAGGACGCAGCTCCCCAGGACGGAGCCAGCGCCAGCGCGCCCCAAGGTCTGGGCCCGCACGTTAGAAGCTGCCAGCCCTTAGCCCGCAGAGCTGGGTGCACACATCCGGGGCTCTGCGCGGCTGATTGGTGGTAACTGAGACACTTTCGTAAGGAAGGCGTCGTGAAAGGCCGTGCTCTTCTATCGAGGAATTCCAACACGTGTGTTAGTGGTGCCAGCGAGAACCATCTCATGCATCACTCTTCAAATACGGGTTAAAGCCCTGGCCTGAAGCGCCGGCATCCTATATGGGCGCTGGTTCTAGTCCCCGCTGCTCCTCTTCCAGTCCGGCTCTCTGCTGTGGCCCTGGAAGGCAGTGGAGGATGGCCCAAGTCCCTGGGCCCTGCACCCACCCACATGGGAGACCAGGAGAAGCACCTGGCTCCTGGCTTCCGATCGGCGCAGCTCCGACCGTAGTGGCCATTTGGGGGGTGAACCAATGGAAGGAAGACCTTTCTCTCTCTCTCACTGTCCAACTCTGCCTGTCAAAAACAAACAAACAAACAAACTGGGTATTACTTGGAGTGGCCGAGGCCCAGCCTGTAGCGCTAGTGTGGGGGCAGACCCTGTCCTCCAGGGTCCTGTTCAAGGGCAGAGTCTGCCCCAGGGGCCTCTGGACAGCAGGAGATGCCAGTGCTGCAGTGCAGGGGCCGCACTGAGTGGCAAAGGACCAGAGTCCTCTGAGGCTTTGTGTCCAAGCTCCAGGGTTTCCAAACCAGACCTTGAGCGGCTGATGGGCTGTCCTGATCCTAGGAACCTCAGGTGGTGATCCTTGTGCCTTTGGTCGCTGGGCTTAAGCCCTTTGCTACACGTGATAGGTAATGAACCGAAGTTTGTGGGTAAGGGTAACTCTTATTTATTAATTTTTTTAGAAGTTGGTCAAATTCAAAGTATGACTTTCGCCTGTGGCCACTGAAACTTTACTTCCTGTGGGCTGGGCTGGAGGGAGGGTCACCCAGACCCCACCACTGCCTAGCCCTGCGACCATGAATAACTCAGGTCTGTCCTCTGTAAAGTGGGTGTCCACAGTGTTTGCCCCATAGAGCACCCGAGGAAGGGAAGGAGGCACACGTGGACGCCGCCCCGAGCAGGGCCCACCGAGGGTCACCTGTCACTGCCCCTGCGGCTGTGTGCGAGTAGGTGGAGCCGATGTCCTGGGAGTAACACAGAGCCACTGTTTCCTGGACCACAGTCAGGGTCAAGTTGCTGGACTGGCGGAAAGTGGTGACTTTGCAGTGTTTCACCAGCAAATGCCCTGAGGGTTTGTTTTTTTTTTTTAAGATTTTACTTATTTATTTGAGAGGTAGAGTTACATACAGTGAGAGGAAGAGACAGAGACAAAGGTCTTCCATCCACTGGTTTACTCCCCAAATGACCGCAATGGCCAGAGCTGAGCCAATCCAAAGCCAGGAGCTTCCTCCAGGCCCACGCAGGTGCAGGGGCCAAGTGCTTGGGCCATCTTCTGCTGCTTTCCCAGGCCATAGCAGAGAGCTGGATCAGAAGAGGAGCAGCCGGGACTGGAACCGGCGCCCACATGGGATGCTGGCGCTTCAGGCAGAGGATGAACCTCCTGCGCCACAGCGCCTGAGGTCCTTAACCGCCGAGCATACCCACCTGAGTGTGTCATTATGACCCCCGACCCCCGCCCAGAAAGGTCGAGAACAGCGAAGAACTACCAGCAGATCCACCGCAGGAACGGAGGCCGGTCTCTTCGTGTCTCAGGCTTCCGTAAAGCTGGCGTGAGAGCGTCTGGCCTAGAAGTGGTGCTGGGTTAGGACACCTACATCCCAGCCTGCAGTGCCTGAGTTTCATCCCCAGCTCAGCGCAGGGAGGCAGCAGATGAGGCTCAGGGAGGCTCAGGCAGTGGGGTCCCTGGTCCCTGCCACGGGCTGAGCCTTCAGTTCCTGACTCCGGCCCCGGCCCGGCCGCAGCAGATGCTTAGAGAGGAGTCGAGGGGGTCTCTCTCCTTGCCTGTCTCTCACTGGGATAAATGTTGACACCCACGAACGGGGGGTCAGCCCTGAAGACGCCCGTGGAGGTGCGGTTGTCCGTCCTGGGGTCCCAGGCGGCAGGTGCACGGTTGGCCCTCTGACCCTCTGCTGCCCTCCGTACACCAGGGCTGCTTGAACGGCCAGTGCTGCCCCCGTCTGTGGCCATTGACACTGCCAGCTACAAGGTCTTCGTGTCTGGGAAGAGTGGCGTGGGCAAGACAGCGCTGGTGGCCAAGCTGGCCGGCCTGGAGGTGCCGACGGCGCACCATGAGACCATCGGTGAGTGAGTGTGGCCCACCCTTTGCCCACCTTCCAGGCCTCCTGGGGTGGACGAAGTGACCTGGTCCTGGGCCGCGTGAGCCAGGCTTCATCGCCTTCTCGGCCGCCCTGAGCGCCGCTTTTCCTCTCTGACAGAGCCTTCCTTGGCTCCTCTGTCCCCAGCGGGTAACGGTACCAAGCCCGTGGGCTGCTGCTGGAGACGCAGCGGGCACCCCGGAAAGGCCCAGCTTCCTTGTGTCTTCCCGCTGCAGGCTGCACGGCCCCTGGTGCCCCGGGTGTGGGCCCTGTGCAGGCAGGGACGCTGCTTCGGCACAGCCAGGGCTCCCAGGCCGGAATTCTCCCAGGTCAGGGGCTGTGCCTGCCCCCATCAGACCAGGGCTACCCCCGCGGGGAGGTATCTCCTTCTTCCTCCTTCCTGGTCCCCCTCCCCCCTCCCCCCTCCCCATGCTGAACAGCCGACCTCTGCCCTCCTCAGGGATCCAGACCACCGTGGTGTTTTGGCCGGCCAAGCTGCAGGCCAGTGACCGTGTCGTCATGTTCCGCTTTGAGTTCTGGGACTGCGGCGAGGCGGCACTCAGAAAGTTCGACCACATGCTGCCGGTGAGCGGGGGCGCCCGGGGCAAGCTGCTGAGTCACGGGCAGGCGCGAGCAGGCCAGGGACTGGGTCCCCGCCGGCGCTCTGCCCTGGGCCAGCCGCTCCCTGCTCCGGGCCTCGGCTTCCCTCCTGTGCAGGGAGGATTGCTAGTCAGGGCCCTGCCACGGGTGGAGGCTCGGCGCTGTGGCGCGCGGCCTGTGAGTCGGCCTCTCCACCCCCAGGCCTGCAAGGAGAACACAGACGCCTTCCTCTTCCTCTTCTCCTTCACCGACCGTGCCTCCTTCGAAGACCTCCCGGGCCAGCTGGCCCGCGTCGCGGGCGAGACCCCTGCTGTTGTCAGGATGGTCATTGGCTCCAAGTATCCTCTGGGCGGCCCCTGGGACTATCAGGCTGTCCTTGGCCGGGCAGAGGGTCAGGGACCTTGGCTCCGCCCTGCCATGGGCTTTTCCTTCCCACGTGCAGCAGGGGTAGGGGTGGGGCTCCGGGAGGAGGCAGGCTGGGGGGCTGGCGCAGAGCCCCCCGGGTGGATTCCTTGACCCTCCTGCAGGTTTGACCAGTACATGCACACAGACGTGCCCGAGCGCGACCTCACGGCCTTCCGGCAGGCCTGGGAGCTGCCCCTGTTGCGGGTGAAGAGTGTGCCCGGGCGGCGACTGGCCGACGGGCGCACGCTGGACGGCTGGGCCGGGCTGGCTGACGTCGCCCACGTGCTCAACGGGCTCGCCGAGCAGCTGTGGCACCAGGATCAGGTGGCTGCCGGCCTGCTTCCCAACCCGCAGAGAGCGCCGCCGGCTGAGGAGGGTGGCATCACGAGTGGGCACCCGTGACCCCACTCCCGACCCTGACCCACGAGGGAGGACAGGGCCCGGCGGCTAAGGCCGGACAACAGTGTGACCTCATCCTCAGGACTGGCCCGGGAGGCCTGGGCGGGGAGGGCGGGGCCTGAGAAGGCGCCCGCCCCAGAGGGCCCTCCTTGCAGGATTCAGGGTGACAGCGAGGTGGGGGCTACCCTGGAGCTCAGACTCCTCCCCCAGCCACCCCCACCCTTTCCCATGGGCCAGCACCCACGGACCACGGGGAGGGCACAGCAGGGTCCTGGACCTCAAGTGGCTTTGACCAAGAGCCTGGATTGGGGTGGGCTCAGCAGGTGAGTCGCCACCTGGGACAGCCGCATCCCGAAATGGAGTGCGCGGCTTCAAGTTTCACTCCACTTCCGCCTCAGCTTCCCGCTGATGTGATGGCCCAGGTACTTGGGTCCCTGCCACCCCCATGGGAGACCCCTATTGAGTTCCAGTTTCCTGGCTCCAGTCTGGGCCAACCTCAGCTTCTGCCAGTGTTTGGGGAGTGAACAAGCAGATGGATACGTCTCTGTCTCTCTTTCCCTATCTTTATGGCTCTGCCTTTCAAATAAATATGAACAGATAACATCAGGGGCCGGGTTGGGCCACCGTCTAGGATGCCAACATCCCATATGAGTGCCGGGTCAAGTCCCGGCCGCTCCACTTCCCACCCAGCTCCCTGCTAATGCACCTGAGAAAGCAGCAGAAGATGGCCCAGATAATTGGGCCTGCCACCCACGGGGAGACCCGGGTGAAGCTCCAGGCTCCTGACTTTGGCCCAGCACAGCCTTGGCTGCTGTGGCCATTTGGGGAGTGAACCAATGGGTAGAAGATCTCTCTGTCTCTCCCTCTCCCCCTCTCTCACTGTAACTCTGACTTTAACACACACACACACACACAAAACTTCACATCAATAAAGACTTTTGAGAAAGAGCCTGTTTTAGCTGAGGTTCGAGTAACACACCACCTGCTGCAGCAGAGGAACCCTGAGATCTCTGGGCCCCACTCTGTGGGGGCCCAGGAGAGGGGAGGGTGTGGGAATCCTGCCCCATGCGCGCCCTCAGAGCCCCAGGCCCGGAGATCTCAGTCTGCCCAGGGCATCAGCCGGAGTGAGGGCAGCTGGGAGGTCGCCCACAGCGGGGGTCCTCGTTGGCCAGCACCCAGGAGCACCCGGGGGGCGAGCCCTTCACGCTGCGCTGCGGTCCTTGGTCATGAAGCTGTTGAGCCAGGCTTAGGACAGGGCCAAGGACCTTCCCACCAGGGGTCAGGTGTGGGTTGGTCTTTCGAGCAGGTCTGGCCGGTGGGAGGCCAGGAAGATCAATGAGCAGGCCCATCCTTAGCAGCCTGAGACGCTGATGCCCATGCTAACGCCGGGGGTGGGGTGCGGTGCCTTGGAAGGGGCCGTTAGCCTCTCTCGGGCCCTGTAGATAGACCCCTGGCCTGGGTCTGACCCACAGAGGCCCTGCTGAGAAGGCGGCCCCCTGGGGGCGGCTCTGAGGCACTGCAGTTTGAAGCTGCAGCCTGCAGCACCAGCATCCCATATGGACGCCGGCTCAAGTCCCGGCTGCTCCACTTCCAGTCTCCCTGCTAGCCACGCCCTTGGCCCCTGCTCCTGGAAGAAGCTCCTGGCTTCAGGTTGGCCCCGGCCCAGTCATCGCCGCCATTCGGGAGTGAAGCAGTGAGTGGACGATCTCTGTGTCTCTCCTTTTCTTTCTCTAAAACGCTACCTTTCAAGTAAATCTTAAAAAAAAAAAAAAAAAAGCAGCCCCGGCAGTTCCTCACCTGCCTGGTCGTGGCTTATGTGGGCCAACTGGGCCCTCAAATGCTCCTCCAGGTGGGCGCTGGGAGCTGTGGTTAAGCTGTCACGTGGGACACCTGCATCTAATTTTGGGTGCCAGGGTTCGAGTCCCAACCCCACTGTGAGTTCCGGCTTCCTGCCAGCGCGCGCCCTGGGAGGCAGCAGGTGGCGGCTCGTGTACTTGTGTTTAAGGTAGGCAGGTGGATGTTAGCCTGTGTGTGGAAGAGGGGCCAAAGACAATGAGAAGTTTTAAAGAAAATTGATTTTTGTGCAGTGGAGCGAGGAAGGCCTAAGCGCAGACCAGCGACTCCACCAGCAGTGACTGCTCCTGTTCAGGCCCCCGTTAATGGGTTCAGCTCTCTCCCTGGGGCACCTGGGGAGTCCCCCTGCCCTGCACCCAGGGGGCCTGGGAGGTTCCAGAACTCCACATCCAGAAACTGCCCCCACCCTCAGTTTCCCAGAGGAGGGAGGAGGCAGAAGAAACGGGACCACACTCACGTCGGGAAAGCTGCCGTCCGAACGGTCCTTTCTCCCATGGCGCCTGCCCTGTCAGCTGTGCCCTCTTCATTGTTTGTCTTCATCAAACTTGACTCGGAAGCTCGTCACTGCTCCCTGGCTCAACCTCCAAGCAGCCATCTCCGTGAACACTCGGGCCCGGGGCTGGCACTGTGGCACAGTGGCGGTTAAGCCAGCACTTGCTACGCCAGCTTCCCACATTGGACTTTCAATTACGGGGTCCTGCTGTTCCGTTTCCAATCCAGCCCCCTGCTATGGCCTGGAAAAGCAGAGGAAGATGACCCGAGTCCTCGGGCCCCTGGCCCTTGTGTGAGAGACTGGGTAGAGTGTCTGGCGTCCGACTTCCAGGCTGTCGCGGCCATCTGGGGAGTGGACCAGCAGATGGAAGACCTCTCTGTGTCTCTCCCTCTCTCTCTCTGTTGCTCTTTCAAATAGAAAAGTACTTTTATGTCCCTGCCACTGACATGGGAAACTCAGATTGGAAACACCCGGCTTTTGCCAGGCCTAGCCCTGGCTGTTGTGAGTGTCTGGGGAGTGAACCAGCAGATGGCCTTGCTCTCTCTGCCTTTTAAATAAATAAATATATATATATATAATTTTTAAAAGATTATTTTTTATTTGAAAGGCAGTTAGCGAGAGAGAGAGAGAGAGAGATCTTCCATCCGCTGCTGGTTCACCCCCCCTCCCCCACCAGAGCTGGGCCACATTGAAGCTGGAGCCAGGACCTTCTTGGGCCATCTGCTGCTTTCCCAGGTGCTTAGCAAGGAGCTGGATCAGAAGTGAAGCAGCCAGGAAGGAAGCCAGTGTCCATATGGGATGCTAGCACTGCAGGCAGTGGCTTAACCTGCTGTGCCACAGCACTGGCCCCTAAATAATTTTTTTTAAGATTTTATTTATTCGAGAGGTAGAGTTATAGACCATGAGAGAGAGAGGTCTTCCTTCTGCTGGTTCACTCCCCAGACGGCTGGAATGGCCAGCGCTGCACTGATCTGAAGCCAGGAGCTTCTCCCTCGTGGGCGCAGGGGCCCAAGCACTGGGGTCATCCTCTGCTGGCTTTCCAGGAGCATTAGCAGGGGCTAGATTGGAAGTGGAGCAGCCGGGACTGGAACCGGCTCCCATATGGGATGCCACAGTGCCGGCCCCACCCTGCGTGACTTCTAGCCGCCCACAGAGGGACCACGTGGGCGGTCCCTGGGGAGCCCTGCAGACGGGGGTAAAGAATGTGTACACTGGCCTCAGGGGCCTCTGGCCTGCGCTGCCGCACGGAGCAGCCCCACACCTGGCTGGATGCTCTGCGCTTACCATTGTAACGTGCTTAGTTTTCTTTTCGTTTTTCTCTAGTATGTATGTGTGAGAGAGCGAGAGCAAACGAGAGCGAGAGCCCTCTCATCCACTGGTTCACTCACCAAATGCCCATAATGGCTGGACTGGGCCACTGAAGCCAGAAGCCAGGAATATAATCCAGGTCTCCCACACGGGTGGCAGGAACCCAACTCCTTGAGGCAACAGCACTGCCTGCAGTGTAGACGTTAGCAGGAAGCTGGAGTCTGGAGCCAGAGCTGGGTGTCGAGCCCGGCATCCCAGCAATGAGACACGGGCGTCTTCACTGACACTGGGCTGCCAGACCAGATGCCTGTCCCCAAATCCCCAGAACATTGCCCAAGGGCCCTCATTTGCATTTTGCCCTGAAGCCCACAGACATGTAGCAAGTTCAGGGACAGTGGGCCCCAGATGGATCTCCTGTTCTGCAGACAGGCCACAAGGGCAAGACCTGAGCCGCTCCGAAGCCAGGAGCCAGGAGCTTCTTCCAGGTCTCCCATGTGGGTGCGGGGGCCCAAGGACCTGGGCCATCTTCTACTGCTTTCCCAGGCCATAGCAGCAGTGGAGCAGCCGGGACTTGAACCAGCGCTCGTATGAGACCCCGGCGCCACAGCACTGGCCTTGGAGCTCCTTTTCTCAGAGCAGCCTCCGGGGGCTGTCACAGGCCACTAGGGGGTCGCTTTCCTGCCATCTGGGTGCCAGAAATCCCGTAGGCCAAGCCTTAATGACAGCGAATAAACGTCTCCCTTGCCTCCCCTGTGGCCATAGTGGGACTGAAGAACCCAGACCCTGCTCTCCGCCCAGGATGGAAGCAGGACAGGTTGGCGCAGACCGTCCCTCACTGCCCCCTCCCCGCCGCCAAGGGACAGACTTGGTGCTCCTGTGGCCGGCTCAGGGCCCTGGAGGCCAAGAAGGGACTCTGCAAGTGACGTCACACCTCATTCGCAGGATGGGCTGACAGTGGCACCTGCCGGGTAGAGGGGCTGTGATGACTGCGCGTAGCCAGTGAGCCCAAGGCCTAAGACGCTCAGCCCAGGGACACGTAGGAGACTGCCCTCCGAGGGGAAGACCGGTCGCTAGTCATGGCCGGCCACTCGGCGGATCAGAATGATGGCTCCAATTGGATTTCAATCGAGGAAGCGCCTTTGATGCGACAAGAGTGCACCTCGCGGGCCGGATGGCAAGCGGAGGGGCTTGAGGGTCTGACCCACCTCGAGACCCCTGCTGGACGGCGTAGCCCAGCTGGGCGCCGAGCCCCGCGTGCGGTTAGCAGGCAACCCTGCGAGTCTGCGCGCGCCGCTACAGGTGAAAGGGGGAGACCGTCAGCGTCAGCCCTGGGGCGGGGGCTCCGCAGGAGCTGAGCACCCAGCCCTGGACCCCCAGGCCGGGCCCCACCCACGCGGACTCGGCCGGCTCCCTAGAGCGCTGCAGCGCCTGCGCAACCCCTCAGCGCCCGCACGCGCCCGCGCTCTCCTAGAACGGCGGGGCGGGGCGGGTTCCGGAGGAGTGGGGCGGGGGCAGCAGCCGCGGGGGGCGGAGCGACCACGGCCCACGTAGCCCAGCCAAGGTCCGCAGGCTCCTCCTCGGCGTGCCAGAGAGGCCGCCCGGCCCTGCTCCCCGGCCTCGGGTGCCCGCCCGGCTGGAAGCCGCCCAAGCTCAGCTTCGTGGGCAGGTGGGCTCCCCGCGTTAACAGCTGGCTCGTCCCCTGTCCCCGTTCCCAGGCGAAAGACTCAGGCCTCTGTTGTGTGATCTCCACTCACATCTCCAATCGCAGTGGAGAGAGGACTGGGGGAGTCCCAGGGGGCTTATGGGGGTGGAGCTGACCCCGGGACTCCTCCCTAGCAGGTGGCAGAGAGCCTGGCCTGCTGGCAGGAGTGGGGAACCTTTGTTCTGCGAGGGCCATTTGAATATTAATAGCATCGTCCCCCAGGCGTACACAATGACCAGCTTACGAGTTAGCCTGCTATGGATGTATTGGCCTGTGGCTGCCTTGGCAGTGCCAGACCCGGTGGTTTCGCGGGCCTCATACATCCTGCCTCCAGCATGGCCCTCACCCTTGACTGGGAAGCAGAGACGTGCGGAGATGGACGTCGCCTGCCTGCCCGCTGAGGGAGCCTGCAGGAGGTAGGGATGTCCCAAGCTCAGCCTGACAGCCTGGCACGGCTGGCACACCCGCCTCGGGCCCATGGAGCCGCCTGGGTGCAGGTGCCTGGTGCGGATCTCGGGCCTTGCCAGCTGCTATGTTCATGTGGCCTTGCGGTGGGTGCTGGCACAGATACAGCTCCGGGTCCCGTAGGAG